GTGCTGACAGCTCGGAGCCTGGAGCCTGCTTCCGGTTCTGTGTCCCCCTCTCCCTCTGCCCCTCCCCGGCGTGCCTCTCAAAAATAAATGTTAAAAAAAAAATTAACAACAAAAAGCCAATGTCCTAAAATTCTCTTGTGGTCACGGTCGTTATCAGCCTGTGACTATACTAAAAACTACGGGATTACAGCAACAATATATTGGGACTTCCTCAAGATAAAAAGCTTCTGCACAGCAAAAGGAAACAATCAACAAAACGAAAAGGCAGCCTACAGAAGATATTTGCAAATGACACATCTCATAGAGAGTATCTAAAATACACGAAAAACTTGTAAAACTCAACACCCAAAAAACAAATAACCCAGTTACAAAATGTGCGGAAGACTTGGCCAGGCACTTCTCCAAAGAAGACAAAACAGATGGCCAACGGACACATGAGAAGATGCTCAGCATCGCTCATTGTCAGGGAAAGACAAAGCAAAACCACAATGAGATGTCACCTCACACCTGTCACAGTGGCTAAACTCAACAACACAAGAAACAGCAGGTGCGGGTGGGAATGCAAACCAACGCAGCCAGCCATTCTGGAAAACAGTGTGGAGGTTCCTCAGAGAGTTAAAAAAAATAGAACTACCCGGGGCGCCTGGGTGGCTCAGTTGGTTGAGAGTCCGGCTTCGGCTCAGGTCATGATCTTGTGGCTCGTGAGTTCAGGCCCCACGTCGGGCTCTGTGCTGATGGCTCGGAGTCTGGAGCCTGCTTCCGATTCTGTCTCCCTCTCTCTCTGCCTTTCCCTGCTCACGCTCTCTTTCTCTCTCTCTCAAAAATAAATAAAAAAAGATAAAGCTACCCTACAGTCTAGCAATCACGTTAGTGGGTATTGACCCAAAAAGTACAAAAACACTAATTCGAAGGGATGCATGCATCCTTCTGTTTATTGCAGCGCTATATACAACGGCCAAGATACGGAAGCAGCCCAGGTGTCCATCGACTGATGAATGAATAAAGATGCGGTGTATATACAGCGGAATATTATTCAGTCATCAGAAAGAATGAAATCCTGCCATTTCCAACAACGTGGATGGAACTAGAGCGTATTATGCTAAGCGAAATAAGGCAAAGAAAGACAAATACCGTATGATTTCACTCATGTGGAATTTAAGAAACAAATGAGCAAAGGGGGCGGAGAGAGAGAAAGCCAAGAAACAGACGTTTAACTCTAGGGAACAAACTTGAGGGTTGATGGAGGGAGGTGGGTCAGAGATGGGCTAAACGGGTAGGGGGAGATTCAGGGGGGGTACTTGTGATGAGCACTCGGTGTTCTCTGTAGGCGAGGAATCGCTATATTGCACACCTGAAACTGATATTGCACTGAATGTTAATTAGAATCTGAATAAAAACTTAAAAAAACCACTTGTACTTCAAAAAAAAAATTTTTTTTTAATGTTTTTATTTTATTTTCAAGACAGAGAGAGACAGAGCATGAGTGGGGATGGGGCAGAGAGAGAGAGACACAGAATCCGAAGCAGGCTCCAGGCTCTGAGCCGTCAGCACAGAGCCCGACGTGGGGCTCCAACTCACGGGTTGTTAGACCATGACCTGAGCCGAAGTCGGAGGCTCAACCGACTGAGCCCCTCAGGCGCCCCAAGAGAATTTAACTTCCTAAATGTCTCTTGTATCTACTGCCTTTTCTCCATCTTACCTGCCACCACCCGTTTGCCTGAACTGGCTGTACTACGCTCCTTCCTGGCCCTCTTCCCATCCATTCCCCACACTGCAGCCAGAGGGATCTCATTACGATTCAAACTTTATGATGTCTCGTCTATGCTTAACTTTAAGGACTTCCCATTTATTTTAGAATCAAGATCAAGGTCCTTGTGTGCCCTGCCAGCCTCTGCATGACCTGGGTCCGTCTTCCCCCACTGTCCTGCTTCATCACCATGCTTCTGCTACACTGAACTTTCTTCAGTTCCTCTGCCTCAGGGCCTTTGCACATGCTGTTTTCGCTACCTGGAAAATTCTACCCTCCTTCCTTCTACTTGGCCTTCAGATCTTGGCACAAATGTTAATTGCTCAAAGACTCCTTCTCTGATCTCCTGGGTGAGTCCAGGTCCCACCTTTTCTCCAAAACGATTTCACAACACCTTTGCCTTCTTTATAGCATTTATTCTGTTTCTTAGTTATGTATCTGCGTGATTATGCCTGACTTCCTTTCTAGGCTGAAGGACCCTGCGGCCCAGGTCCATGTTTAATCTGCCGAACTTCTCTTGATACATCTGTGGCCTTCTCTGGATGCACAGGAGGGTGGGTCGGTGGAAGATCAGGTGACCCACTAAGGATGGGCGGGTGGAGGGGCGAAGAAATGGTGCGTGGACGGACAGATCATAGCTGTCTGATGGATGGGTGGATGGAAGGATGGATGGGTAGATGGATGAAGGGCGGACGGCTGGGTGAGTGGGTGAACGGAGGGTGGGTGGAGGGACGGATGGTCGGACG